CATGGTTCAAGCTGCCATAATTTATCTCCTGGATATTTTACTTTCTTGTTGGGGTGAAGATGTTCTCAGTTTTCATGAGGACAGCACTTCTTTTTCTCCATTTAATTTTCTCCATTGTATCTAAGTCAGTCGTTGTAAAGAAAAACTCTATTCCCATTTAGCCCCTTTAATGTCTTCTCATGATTCTTGGAGTAATAGCCAGTTTCAACAGGGCTTTATGCTTTGGCCTGACTTTTCCTACCTAGTTGTCCCACTTCCTCCTATGTTCTCCATTTTGACAAGTCTAACTGGTTTTATTTTAGGAGCTGATCTTCCTTTCTTGTATGTCTTGTGCTTTACTAATACTTTTTCCTCTTCCTGCATTGGTGGCTACCTCTTTCTTTTCCCCAAACCACCTAAACATCTATTAACTTCTCATTTAAGAATCCCCACAATCTTAGTTGTCACTGGACAGTGTTCTAAAGATGCTCAAATTCAGTGGTTTCTGAATCTTGTTGATAATCAGAAGCAAATGCCAAGCTTTTCTCAAAACATGGATTCTCAGGCTGCAGTCCAGGTCAACTGAACCATAGTCACTAAATGTGCAATCCTGGAGGATGTGGTTTTCAAATACTTCACAGACATCCTGTGTTCAGATAAGGTTGAGAACACTGGTTATAGAACAGTAATTTTCAACTGCCTCACATGTAAGAACATCTGTAGATCTTAAAACAGTACAAAAAAAAACTTGTCTGACTCTTCTGTGGCACATCCTCAATCAGTAAATCTCTGGTGGTTGGTAACAAAATGTAAACCAAAATAGACTGGAAACCAAGAAATGAAATATAACCAAATAAAGATGAAAGGAACCTAAGTTCAATCTTTGAGAAATCTTAGAGAATTGAGAAATCTTTGGCTAAGCCAAGAAAGAAATAGAGACAAATATATAAAATCTAAAAGAGAATACTTTCATGTATGTTTGTATATTATGAACACATAAAAAAGACGTTAGTACACACACTATGAGATAAATGGGATAGAAAATAACGATAGTATATAAAATACTAATAACAATATAACCATGATGAAAACTTTTTTTCCATTTTGCCTTCATCCTAAATAATTGAATAATTTTATTTGTGAGTACAAATATTATTAAGTTGCATAATGTGGAAACAATTTATACTAAATCTTGTTTTTTAGAGAGAGAGAATTTTTTAATATTTATTTTTTAGTTTTTGGCGGACACAACATCTTTGTTTGTATGTGGTGCTGAGGATCAAACCTGGGCTGCATGCATGCCCACTAAATCTTGATAAGTGCAATATAGAAAAAAGGAAAAGTTTTCACTCATAATATGGTTTTAAAATTCTCTCTCCCTTCAGAGATGTATATATTTATATAAATATATATAAATATATATAAATATATATAAATATGTAGTTTAGGTGTGTGTGTGTGTGTGTGTGTGTGTGTGTGTGTGTGTGTGTATTTGTCATGATTGCTTATGGATTGATTCAGATGGGCCTTGAGAGAAAAATCTTTCAGTGTAGTTTATATCTTAATGGATTAAAGACAAATCTTGTGATTTTTCCCTTGTTTTCAAACTTACTTGATGGAAATTGCAATGATAAAGAAGCATTCACTATATTTTAAAATTTATTTAACCCCAATACTTAATAAGTACAAATAAATAAAATTCAAATTCAAAAGAAGACAAGAACATTGGCTAGCATTAACTGAATTAATGTTCAACATGTTAGAGGTCCAGAACAATAAAATCCAACAACCAACCAACCAACCAACTACAAAAGACCTTGAGGTTTTGAGAATTGTAAGAGTCTTACTGATGATATTTTAAAATCATGTCTTTGTTTTGTTCTATATGGATGTGATTGTCTACAACGAAAACTTGAGTTAGAAAATTACTGGCAATAAGATATCAGGTAGGAGCTGAAAGCAAAATAAAATTATAGTATCATTAAGCACTTATCTATGCCAGTAGTAATTAGTATTAAATAAAAAAGGAGATAAGTTTGGATTTGAGGGGGGCATTTTGAAAACTCTTTTAATACTATTTTACAACACCTGAATGAATACAAAGCTTTGCAGCTTTGAATGTAACAGGGCATAATGTAAACTTGATATTTCTCCTTAAATATAATTTGAAAACTCTCTTTCAAATTTTGTTCTCAGGAGGATTATCTTGAGAGAGACCAAAGCTGTTTACTTGATTCAAAAATTTTGTGGAAGATAGTAGTCTATAAGTAGCTAGGAACTATTTAGAACATACTAACTGTAGCATAAACAAATTTGTAGTAACAAATTTTATCATGTCCAAATAATATAAAAAAAACAAAGAGAATAGAGTCCCCTAGAAATTGATCTCCTTATATATGGCAATGCATTATGTTAGTGATGAAATCATGAATCATAAAATTACATTTAGTAATTTGTACCAGAAAATTGTTTATTATATTAAAAACAACTCCTGATGATTTCTGTCCCAGGCTGCGTACTAAAGGTCTAAATGAATGAAAGACCTAAATAGGAATATCATAACTCACAAATGCATCATAAAGAAATTTAGAATTTCTCTCTGATTTGAAATTAGAAAGTATGTCATAAATAAGACTGCAAGTTTCAAAATATAAGAAAAAACTGTTTAACTATTAAATTACTTCAAAATGACAATTCTTATAAAGGACATCATGGAAAAATCTAACAGACAAAATGAGATAAATTATATGCATCATCTAAACCCAGAAATTATTCCCTAGACTATAAAAGTTATTACTAAAAAGAATAATGTATATATGTAATATAATAAAAATATAATAATTTCACATAATTATATGATAATTATATAATAATATAAAATAACAACAGTAATCTAATGTCATAATAATATAAAAATATAATTATATGTATTACATTTACATAATATATATATGGTCCCAATATAAAAATCAACAAAGTATATATTGAAAATATTTATGACAATGTTGATCACATTATTAGGTATATTAGGAAAGCAGTGGATACAGTTCGTTTATGGGAATTAAAAAGTTACATTTTATATATTTATATAATGGAATATATAAACCCTCATGAACTAGATTTCCATACAGCAACATGATTAGATTTCAGAGGAAATTTTGAATAAAAACTTTACATAAAGTAAACACACACCACACAGTATCCTATCACTATGTATCTCTCCAAGACACACATATACCTATATATATGCATTGAGTAAGAACTGGAATACTCTGAGGAATAAATAATATGAATATGTGCTTGTGGGAAAAGGGGAATGAGAGTATGAGAGGGGAATAAATAGATAAAAAGCCATAAATCATAAAATATTTCTTCATATGTGGCTGATTAGCTTCAATAACAATGATCAACTCTGAGCAAAATACTGAAACAACTCCCTCCATGCTAAAAGAGTGTAGCTTTTGAGGGGAAGCTGAAGCCTGGAAGAATGAGCCATCAGGAAAAATCTCCTGTTTTAATGATGTTAATTTGACAGCAGTTGGAAGACAAAGATGGAATACTTAAAATCGGTAGAACCAGCACACCCCCTTAATCAACCATAGTTACTGGAAGAAAGGGGAAATCCTAGACCATAAGAACCTTATTCAAATTTCTAGCTAAGTACCTCACAGAAGTTGCTCAGCATCAAGATTCACAAAAGGAGAAGATAACTTCTCAGTGAGGTGGCAATTAATGTTAGAGATGTCAAAGTAAACTCCAGACATACCATTTTATACACAAGTTAACTGATATTAGGGCTACTGCTAGCTACCCCTCCCTCTAACAGGAGCTAGACAGTGACCATGACACTTCAAGATTCCACTGTAGAGGCACTGCTGCTGAGGAATTATTATAAACTAGCCAAACAACAGAGAATATCTCCCAACACAAGATCTTACCCCATATGAGCCTAAACATAGCTTGAAATTATTGAAATGGGGAGACAATTACCAGGCTCCAAAGAGGAATAACCAGAGTGGAACTGCAGGCCCCCCACCCCACACCAACATCTATACATGTTTCAAAAACAGAAATCTTAGAGTTCTAAAAACTTCTTATAAGAACTTCTGTATAAAACAGGAAGGGGAATCCATCTTAATTGATGTGCAAGTCCAGGACCTTCGAAAGGATGAGGAAACAGGCAAACAAATCTCCCCTTAAAACTCAGAAGCCTCCAACAAAGGATCCCACTGAGACAAGAGTGGATGAAATTCCAGAGAAAGGTTGTAAAAAACTGATTATTAAAATATTAGATTAACTTAAAGAAGATCTAAGGAATGAATTAAAAGATCAATTGCAGGAGATGAAAGACTATTTACAAATAAAGAAATGGAAATATTGAAAAGAATCCATCCAGGACTCCTAGCAATAAAAGACACAATGAATCAAATGAAAAATTCATTTTAAAATATCACCAGCAGATTACATTGTACAGAAAATAGAACTTCAGGGCTGGGGTTGTGGCTCAGTGGCAGAGTGTTCGCCTAGCATGCGTGAGAAACTGGGTTCAATCCTCACGACCACATAAATGTAAAATAAAGATATTGTGTCTACCTAAAACTAAAAAAATATTAAAAAAAGAAAATAGAACTTTAAGATAGAACCCCAGGCTTTGAAGACAGGATACATGGATTTGAGTACATGGAATACAAAAAAGGTGGAAAAAGTAGTAGAACATGATCATATACAGGAATTCTGGGACAACATTAAGAGACCAAACCTGATAACCACTGGGATAGAAGAGAACCTGGAGATATAAGCTAAAGGTGTTAAGAACATTTTCAATGATATAGTTATAGAAAAGTTTTCCCATCAGAAATGAGATAGATATTCACATACAGGAGGAAAACAGAATTTCCTATAGACCTAACCAGAAGAGAAGTTCTCCAAGACATATTGTAATCAAAATGCCTAACAGAAAATAAGGAAAGAATGTTAAAAATGGTAAGAGAAAACATCAGTTCAATTTAGAGACAAACCAATAAAGTTCACTTCTGATTTCTCAATCCAGACCCTAAAACCAAGGAGGGGCTAGAATGAGATATTCCAAGCTGTAAAAGAAAACAACCACCTTCCACATTTATTATACCCAACAAAGCTTAGTTTCAAAATTGAAGGGGAAATTAAAACCTTAGGAAAAGAATTTATCAACACCAAACCAGCACTCTAAAGAATACTCAAAGATAAACTGCACCCAGAAGAACTAAAAAACAAATCCCAAAGCTCCCAAATAGAGGCAGATCAATAAAAGGCCAATCTACTATACAAGAATCAAGACAGTATTAAGTATAGCAAAAAAAAAAAAATGGCAGAAAGCCCCACACACATATCCACATTAACACTGAATGTTAATGGTCTTTACTCACCAATGAAAAGACACAGGTTACGAGAATGGATCAAAACCAAAATCCAACTCTATGCTACATAAAAAAAA